AAGAATGGTTTTTAGATAAATTGTTTTTAAAAGCTTTAGTGAAATTAATTGTGCATTTAATGTAGTAGCTATTTAGTGCATGTTTTTTGGTGGCAGAAGGAAGAAAAGAAAGCTTGTTACGTAACAGTAAATTTTGAAGAATTCTAATGTACTTTTGAAAAGAAGAACACATCAGTTTTTGTTTTTGTTTTTTTAAAGATTTTATTTATTTGACAGAGATCACAAGTAGGCGGGGGGGGGGGGAGAGCAGACTCGCCGCTAAGCAAAGAGCCCAATGTGGGGCTCCATCCCAGGACCCTGAGATCATGACCTGAGCTGAAGGCAAAGGCTTAACCCACTGAGTCACCCAGGCACCCCAAGAACATATCAGTTTTTTTTGATTTAAGCTCTCTATCTTGGCTGATTTTGATATCTTAATAAAAAACTGCATTTTCATTTAAATAGATTACCTTTGAATTGAATTTCTCCTGTTAACATAAGGAAGCATGTGATTTATTTTAAAATAAGAGAAAACACCAAAGCTATTTTTGTATTTGGGAAATGGGGAGAAGAGAGGAGATATCATGGAACTTTGTAAATGAATGTAAAAAGTATTAGTCTAATAACTTAAAAAAACAAACGGCTGGTTTTCCTGTCTCATGAAAAGAGTCCCCACCCAACCCCATCTCAATTTGGTAAAAGAAATTGCCATTCTCCAAAAAAAAAAAAAAAAAAGAAAAAAAATTGCCATTCTCTTTATTGTCAGAACAAATAGTCACTATAAGAAAACTACTTTCAAACTGGGTTTTATTTTTTTTTAAGATTTTATTTATTTATTTGACAGAGAGGTCACAAGTAGGCAGAGAGGCAGACAGAGAGGGGGGAAAGCAAGCTCCCTGCTGAGCAGAGAGCCTGATGTGGGCTTGATCCCAGGACCCTGAGATCATGACCTGAGCCAAAGGCAGAGGCTTAACCCATTGAGCCACCCAGGTGCCCCAACAAATTGGGTTTTAAAAGATTCATCAACATACAATGTTTTCGCAGAAGACACTTATAAATTCTGTAATTTAAACATATCTTTCCAAAAAATAAAATTAAAATGATAAATGATCAGTTTATGTAATGTCATTGAATTTAACTTGAGATATAACAATTTAGCATTTTTAATGTAAATTAAAATGATAAATGATCAGTTTATGTAATGTCATTGAATTTAACTTGAGATATAACAATTTAGCATTTTTAATGTAGAGTTTATTAAAATTTTTAAAACTGAATTTAAAAGTATATGCATCCATATACTGGGCATTTCACTTACTTTTTAGTTTTGGCTGTGTGGTTTGTATTTTTTTTTTTTTAATTAAAAAAAGACCCTAAAATCGTGTGAATTTGATTGTTTTTAGAAATACATATTCAATTATAGACTATTAGCGCATTAACATATATATTAAGTAAAATGTAAGTCTGGTGGTAGCTTCTGAAATTTACCTACATATTTTTAACACTTGAGATACTGTATGTATATATTTAAGTATTTGTGTGCACTAGCAATTTGAAGGGGCTTCAGATCACTGTAATAATATTGAACCTTCAGTTCATTTACAACTATGTCAGTTAAATTCCCCCCAAATAATAAATTCTGCTCAGAATCTTGTCTGGTTTATGGCAAAATAAATAAAGCAATCAAATTGCTAAGATTATGCACCCAGTTTCTTTACACCTGAGAGAAATTAGTTTTGTGGAATGTAATATTTATTAAATCGTGAGCTGTCTGAATTTTATGTAAAGTTCATTTTTGCTTTTCTCAAAATATATAGAGATAATTGGAATACTTTTCCATAGCCTATTGGGAAACTTGCAATAAACAGAAAGTGGCTTAGAAAATCTAGCATATTTTTTGAGTGTCTATCTTTGACATCCAAATGGGAATGAACAAAATGGGGGTGGGAGCATTATAAACACTTAATCTTTGTAAATTCTCCTGGAAAAAATCATCACCACTCCCAGCTTGATTTGTTTCATTTAGTTCTTGCCACATAAACTTCTTAGGTCCTTATATGTTGTATATTGAAGAAATCAGTGTTGAGGGTTTTTTGTTCATTTAGGTATTGGAGCATTCTGTTCTATGCTTAGAAGTGACCTGTTTATTGGACCCATGCTATCTAATAACTAAAGCATATGAAATTTACTATGTTTTGTATTGATTTAATATTAACATTAATCTAAAATATTTCAGTGCAGTGTGTCACATCTGTTTTGTATTCCTCTGTTTAAAAGAAGTGGCAGTGTGGTATTTGGAGGAATATTTATTATCTGAGTGTTTTTCTTTGCAACAGTTTCCCTCAGTCTATTGAGAATTATAACTTCCAAGAGACAGTGAATCACCCAGCAAATTCTCAGGTACCAAACTGCTAAAAGCCACAGTTAACTGGAATTTTTATTTACCACTTCATTACCCTTTACTTAACAGTGGCAATTTTGAAGACTTTTTAAAATGATAGAAAATAAATCTGTGGTGAAATATTTTAAAATATTCTTTCCCTTAATAATCAGTCCAGCCTATACTTCATGGATACTCTAGGTTTTTTCAAGAAAAAAACTTTGTTAGACTGTTGATTTGTGTTTGAAACCAGTTTTCCATGACCAGTGACTGAATATTCTTACCCTGTGATGGTGCTTCCTAACTTTTTGAGGGGTTATGGGTTTTAAGTAATCACTGAAAACTATACTCCCGTTTCCTAAACAAAAATGCATAGACACCATATTTTGTATGCAGTTTTAGTTAATCCTGTTTCTCCCTACCCAGAAGATCATGAGCCTCTGGTTAGAAACTGCCACTATAATGGAACTGAAAAATCCCTTCTAGAGTGTTGGTTTTAACATCCTGTTACGCCACATTAAGAGTTTTCTTCACTTCAAGCTTTATTTAACATTATGTTTTCTCCTTCATCATTACATAGTAGAAGTTAAGCGGAATCTATATCTTATTTTGGAGAAAAAGCACAATTACCTTTTAATTTTAAAGTGCATATCTGAAACTGTAGAATATATTTGGCCTTCTAGGTGCTTTAGATTCTACCTTAGATACATAAGAAAGGAAGAAGATGGTTTTTCCGTAAAAAGGTTGTTATTACACTTATTGTTTAGCACAACAGTATGGGTTTTCATTTTAATGAGAGGTTTAAAGCTATTCACGGGGCACCTGGGTGGCTCAGTGGGTTAAGCCTCTGCCTTCAGCTCAGGGCATGATCTCAGGGTCCTGGGATCGAGTCCCACATCGGGCTCTCTGCTCAGCGGGGAGCCTGCTTCCTCCTCTCTCTCTCTGCCTGCCTCTCTGCCTACTCGTGATCTCTCTCTTTGTCAAATAAATAAATAAAATCTTAAAAAAAAAAAGCTATTCAGAAGTTGTTTCTGTGCTGGTTAAGAGTGTAACTTAGGTTTAAAGCAGATTAGGGTTCAAATTCAACTCAGTAGTTTACCAACCACGTGACCTTGGGCATATTACTTATCTGTTAAAAAAAAATCACCATAAAAGGATTAAATGAGATAAAGTCTATAAAGTGGTTGATTTTGTACTTTGTGTGTAATATGCACTCAGTTACCTCTTTCTGTACGATGATGGTAGTATTGATGATGGTAAACAATTACAGAGTGTTCATTTTTCTTATTAGGAAATTGAGGACAGTAGACTTGGTTGCAAAAAATACATATAAATCTTCATATTCCCCAAAATAATCTTCTGAAGTCTTGATGGCTTGTAATTGTTGTCAAAGTTTAGTCAAGAATTCTTCAAAGATGGGTAGCAAACTAACTATTTTCATACTTTTCTTATCAGTGTTCAGCTGTTACAGTGAGGCAATATGTTAAAAGTGACCCACTAAACTTGTCTCACAATTAAAGTAAATATTGAGGAACAGAGAAAGGAAGACGTTTCTAAGAGTGGATTAAAAAGCACAAACATGTTTTTGAGTCTTGACACCTGGCTGGTCTCATGGTAAAGCCACAGGTATCATGAATACTTCGGGTAGATAATGTTCCTTTGCATATTATGTCATAAAGAATACCTCCAACTTAGGGGCACCTGGGTGGCTTAGTTGGTTAAGTGTCTAACTTCAGCTCAAGCCATGATCTCAGGGTCCTGGGATCGAGCCCTGTCTCTGGCTCCCCGCTCAGTGGGGCGTCTGCTTCTCCCTCTCTCTCTGTCCCTCCCCCCACTTATGTGCTCACATATGTCTATTTCTCTAAGAAATAAATAAAATCTGAAAAAAAGAATACTTGTAATTTAAAAATGTTGAAGGAGTGAAGGAGTGATGTCAACCACTGTATACTTGTCCACTGTAAAAGAGTGTTCCCACCGTGGTTTGAAAAGTATTTGGAGCCGAAGAAGAAGAGGATAATGTGTATTATGTTTTGATTAAATAATGGTTTAATACCTGCCTGAAGTGAAAGGCTTCAAGTTTACTAAAAGGATGATTTCAGGCCCTCCTGAAAAGAAGTGGGATAATATCCTGTCTGATCCGTTTCCTATTCACATTTGTGGTTGTTCATTATAATTGAGTAATAATCATGGCAGTGTTTATGGCAGTGATTTTTTATATACCCATATGTGCACATATCCACTCACATGTATGTGTTCTCCATGATACTTTAGAATGATTAATTCAGTTGGGAGTCATAGTAACAGATTATGAACAGAAGAGAATCTCAGTATATTCTAGAAATTCAAAGTTTGCATTAGGGGAAAGGGTCCATTGTGTTCATCTATAAACTGTGTCCTTACTACTGACAGGAAACAACTCAATGAATTTGTTATGGATTTAAACCTGTGTATTTCCTCTGTGAAGAACACAAACCTTACTTGATCACTTTATGAAAAATTATATGCTACAGGTACCACTGAAATATAAAGAAAGCACTTTGCACTGCAATTCTTTTTCTTATAATGCCCAGTCTTATTCATTAATTTTCTTTGACAGGGAGAAAGTTTGGAAAATCATATCTCCCCTTTTCTTTCTTCTCAGTATCGTCAGTGAAGCAGGGGCGTCTATCTACAGTGTCAGCCCTGAAGCTAACAAAGAGATGCCAGGGCTGGACCCTAATTTGAGAAGTGCAGGTAAGAAACTATAGGCCATCACAAAGGTGTGTGGTTTTGATATTTTGAAGGACTTTTATTTTTAGCAAGCAAGAAAATTTAGAAGATATATGTATACAAATTAGCATGTTAGAAAATGGTTGATTGGAATAGTAGTTAAAATTATGGAAAAGAAGAGGAAGAATACTGTTTTTAAAGAGTATAGTAAGGGGCGCTTGGGTGGCTCAGTTGTTAAGCATCTGCCTTTGGCTTAGGTCATGATCCCGGAGTCCTGCGATGGAGCCTCGATTACATTCCTTGCTCAGTGGAGAGCCTGCTTCTCCTTCTACCACTCCTCCTGCCTATGTTCCCTCTCTCACTGTCTCTCTCTCTGTCAAATAAATAAAATCTTTAAAAAAAAAAAAAGGTATAATAAAAAATTAGTCCAAAACATCTTTAGTAAAATTAGGTGCTTAAGTATTAATAATAAAATTAATAAAATACTCCAGATCTCTTATTACTACTACAAAATATTTATTACAGCTTTTTATTGACAAAAAATAATATATTAACCTAAATATACATAAACACGCACAGCTTCTTGCTATTTGTCGAATGATCAGTTTCTCTTATCTTGCTAATGGGGCAGTCATTAATGTTTAAAACAGCCTACTTTGATTTTAGTTGTATTAGGTTGCTTTGGTTTCTGTTTTGTGGAATAGTTAAAATCTTGTGTGTGAAGAAATTGAGATACTTTCATACATCTAGTGAAAGTAATTTGTATTATAAGCAAATTATTAAATCTGGTAGAGCATCTCTCTGTGTGATAGTGGGGTATTTAGACTACTTTGTTAGAAGGGACTTTTTCATTTAAAATTTTTCCTTAAGGGGCATCTGGGTGGCTCAGTTGATTAAGCGTCTGCCTTTGGCTTTGGTCTTGATCCTGGAGTCTGGAGATAGAGCCCCACATTGGGTTCCCTGCTCAGCAGGGAGTCTGCTTCTCCCTCCTCTGTCCCTTACCCTCTCTTGTGTTCTTGTGCACTTTCTTTCTCTCTCAAATAAGTAAAATCTTTAAAAAAGTAAAATTTTCCTTAAATATTCTCATCAGGTTTCATTGGCTGTTCTTGAAATCTATACTTGGAGATACATATTTGAAAATTTTTGCATTATCTGAGGCTAAAAACCTATTTCTTACATTCAAAAGAGTTTATAGTTTCCCTTCAGTTGTTTGTTCCATGATATCCTCTGTCTAAAATGATCATCTTCTCAAACTCAGATCCCAGCTCAAAATCTTGGTCCTTCTGTGAAGCTTTTTCCTATCACAACAGCTCAGTGTGGTCTCTGCCTGCTTGCCTGTGCTCTTCTGGTACTGACCTTGTAATAACAATAGTAATAATAGTAGTAGGAGGAGATACAGTAATCATAGTGGCAGCTGCTAATACTAATCTTTTAAAGCACTTAATGTAGGTGAAACATTGTGGTAAATGCATTACCAGGATTATTTTGTTTTATTCTTATAAACCAAGGCTTAAATTGTCCACATAATCAATAAGTGCATATATAATCCTTGTGTACTTGTATAATAAAAGGATACTTTTTTAAATTAAAAGATAAAATTCAGGGGTGCCTGGGTGGCTCAGTCAGTTGTGTCCAACTCTTGATTTTGGCTCAGGTCATGATCTCAGGGTTCCGAGATCGAGCCCCACGTTGGGGTCCACACTGAGTGTGGAGACTGTTAAAGATTCTCTCTTCCTCTCCCTCTGCCCCTCCCCCACTCTCTCTCTGTCAAAAAATAAATTAAAATTCAATTCAGAACCTTTCAAGTTGGCACTGAAAGGGAATCTTCCAAAAGAACATTTGAAAGAAATATTGCCTAGGGAGTGGCAGTCTCTCAGACCTCCCCCTGCTAAGGGGGCTACTGTTTCCTCTTCACCACTGGCCTATGTGGGTGCGTAACTGTCAACGGTGTTACAGGTGAGACAAGATTGTAACATTCCAACAGGACTGTCTGAAAATAGGGGATAATAAAAAGATTATTATATGGCCCGAATTACTCAGATTCCAAAGTCTGTTTGTGTCTTCAATTTGGGATTCACTGCAGGTATGCCTTCCTGCTATGTCTCAGCTTGCTTTCACCTGGCAATGACTATGTTGATCCCTGTCAACTCAAAACATCCACATAGACATTTTGAGCCTTCAAGAACTGATCCTGGAAGCAATTACTAAAAGAAGGTCAGAGTTTCCATGCTAGGTTTTCTAGAGTTCACTTCTTCCTCAGTTCTTCATTTCTAGTGATTGATGGCAGGGATGACTTTATAATTCATATGAGACCTGTCCTACCTATGGGTGTGGGTTTTCCTTTTCAGCCCTCCATAAGTTTACTATAGCAGAATATAACAGAACCTTAACATTCATGCAGTGTTAAACATATGTAAGAAGATGACCTTCATATTACTGTATCTTCTTGACCAGTTTGTCAGCTTACTGAGAGCAGAGGTTATCCTTATATATTCTTACAGTCCCCCATAATAAGTTCATTATACTGGAGAGGCATTTACATTAGATAGAATAGTAGGTAGGTGATACTAAAATGCTTATTATGGATTTCTGATTTAAAATAGAAGATTGAGTATTCCTTTACTCCCTTCTGAACTCCCATAAAAGTGACAGTAGCGTGATGGAAAGAAGGCACAAACTTACTAGGGCAAAGAAGGGAGAGGAAAGAACAGCAATAATCGTTTTGAAATGGGAAAGCAAATGGCTGAATAATAAGTGATCTAGCCAACTTGAGAAAGTTGAATACTAACACAGCATTGTAGAAAACCAAGAACTAATCTGAAATGATCATGGAATCCTTATAGGTTTGGGAAATGCATGCACCAAGTTACCTTTAGAAGTATCTTGGGAGGGCTGCAGGTAGGCCTAAGTGAGAGGATTGATTGAAAGTTCTGTGTAGAAAGCAGTTGGATGCAATTAAACACAGAATACCATTTAACCCAGCAATTCCACTCCTCAGTATGTACTCAAAAGAGTTGAAAACAAGGACTCAAACGAATACGTGTACGCAGTGCTCATAGCGCACTATTCACATAGCCAAAAGCTGGAAACAACCCAAATGTCCATCACTGGATGGATGGATAAACGAAAGGTGATATATCCATACAACGAGCTATTATTTTTAGTCACAACAAAGAATGAGCACTGACGTGTGCCATAACGTGGGTGAACCTTGAAAACATGCTAAATGAAAGAAGCCAAACACAAAAGGCCACATACTGTATGGTTACATTTATATGAAATGTCTAGAATAAGGCTAACCTATAGATGCAGAAAGCAGGCACTGGGAAGAGGAGAAAATGAAGAGGGACTACTTTAATGGGTATAGGGTTTTCTTCTGGGGCACTAAAACCGTTTTGGAACTTGGTAGAAGTGGTGGTGTGTACAATAGTGTTAAGTGTAATAAATGCCACTGAATTGTACACTTGGAAATAGTTAATTTTATGTTATGTGAATTTCACATCAATTTAAAAAACCAAAATTGTTAGATCTCCTGTTCCACACAGTTGAGTGATTCTCCTTCTTTCATCTTTGTAGAAGACTGGAGATTTTTTTCCTCTGGAGAGGGTTAAATAGAAAGTCTCTCTGCTGGAGGACACAGGTTATACATAATAATGGGGACAGCTGCTGAAAAAAGACAGATTAAATAATTATTTACATGCTGATGTAGAGATCTTACTACTAAATCTTCCATGCAGGAGATAGGGGAATACTGACCTGCACAAGAGAAAATACCTAATGAAACTGAGATCAGAGGGCCACAAGAAATGAGCCAAATCACCATAAAATGAAGCCCACAGTTGATAAACGTCACATTTAGGCAAAGCACTTACAGTCAGCTTTTTGGTACCCTTGCCCTGGTGGACAGTCAAGGGTCACCTATTATGTGAGGAGACTTAACACTGTTGAAGACAGATGTGGCGGTAGTGCAAAAGCCACTGAGAGGAAGTAAAGACTATATAGAAGGAAGGAAAACTTTTACATCCTTAGAGAAAAGAAAGGTATTTTATTCACTTAAATGAACTTGACATAAAGTAATATTCACCCTTTTTAGGTGAATTCTTGAATTTATCTGTGAATTTTGAAAAGCTTAAACTAATCAGGTTACCACAACCACTGACACTACAATTAAGATAAAGAATATTTTTATCTGGCCAACAGATTAGTCTGCTTCTTGTTCAAAAATGAAATTATTAATTAGGGGATCAAGATCATTTATTGAAACAACATTTTAATAAGTTTTATAATGAAAAAATTCTTATTTGGAATTGCTGAATGAAAAAACAGCATGGGAAGTCTTATCTGCCTCTATTGCTATCTGATGGCAAGGAGAAGGGGAAATTGAGGGGAGTATGGGACTTTTTTTAACAAATAAAAATTTTCACTTTGATATTCCTAGATAACAAAATAAGGTAAATTTTTAGGAGAATGAAGTTTAGTACAGTCTTTCAAGCATTAAGTTTATTTGCTTTAGAATGGCTTTTAGATTCTAGATATTTCAGAGTACTGAAGACCAAAACCCATAGAACCCTTTTTCTCCTTTGGATAGAAGATACATTTTGAATGAGGGGGGTGGTGCTTTCAGGGTCACGTCATGTGGTTGTGCAGGTCTGTGCACCAGACATCCTGCCTAACCCTAGGAGGTAGCTCTGCTTACGGACCTATGAGAGCACTCAGTCTCTCACCCCTCCTTTGGGTATAACTAACCTATTTTTTTCCTCTAATGCTTAACTTTTTGTTCAGTAGCAGTTTAGTTGTCTCCCTTTCCCCACTGAGTTACATTATTACCATTTAACAGATTACCGTACATTAAAGATGAAATTCCTATGTGTATTTTTAGTCCTCTTTTCCTTGGTCTCACTTTGCCACAGTGTAAGACTCTCAAGTTATGGTGGCTTATGATGTGACTTGCTTTAATCTTTTTTTAATTGTACTTTTCTTATGCATTTCCTTTTTTCCATATACACTTTGGAGCCATTTAATTGAAATTCTGTTAAATTGGCACCTTTATCCAAGTTCTGTACACTTTATTACTCACAGGCAGCACACACACACACACACACACACACAGAGTAAATGGATTGCCCTTCACAATATTTTCTTACTGGTTTTTGATGGCATATGGTACTCTATCAGTTATTGCCTGGGTGTTTTTATTTTTATTTATTTATTTATTTATTTATTTATTAAAGATTTTTATTTATTTGACAGATCACAAGTAGGCAGAGAGAGAGAGAGCTGAGCAGAGAGCCCGATGCGGGGATCGATCCCAGGACCCTGAGACCATGACCTGAGCTGAAGGCAGAGGCTTTAACCCACTGAGCCACCCAGGCACCCTGCCTGGGTGTTTTTAAACCAGCCAATTGAAGTCTGAGTTCTGATATTTTTTCATTTGACTTGTTCGGGTTTTCTAAAGCGGTCAAACATCATCAGTAAATAGTAATCTAGTTTTAATCTGTAAGGACCTATTTAGCCAGAGCGATGCTATCGATGCCATCCAGTTAAACAGTGATTTTGTTATTTATGCAGTAAAACTTAAACTGACCCTGCCCTCCCCGCCCTTCCTTACTTAAAAGCAAGTCCTGGAAACCAGTCCCAGGTAACAGAGCCCAAATACAAGGGTGAGTCAGGCTAGGTGGAGACATCCAAACAGTGGGGCACACATACTGTCTCCCTAGCTACCGAGGAGTGTGGGCCCCACCTTTCGGGTGCCAATTCTGACCAAGGTAATAGGCTAGTTCAAATATCTACTATAGCGTAAATTGTGATTCAATTGGTCACTTGTGTGTGACCTAGCATGACTGGGCAGCTTTCTCTGTGTGTTGCAATCTCATTGGCCACCTGTGTGTGGCCAGGCTCAACCACATGGCCTTTGCCCTTTAAAAGTTAGTCAGCAAGGCAGAGAGGGGTCACCCTCTCTGTAAGTGGCGGCCCTGACCTGTCGGTTTGATTCTTTTTTTTTTTTTTTTTTAAAGATTTTATTTATTTATTTGACAGAGAGAGATCACAAGTAGACAGAGAAGCAGGCAGAGAGAGAGAGGGAAGCAGACTCCCTGCTGAGCAGGGAGCCCGATGCGGGACTCGATCCCAGGACCCTGAGATCATGACCTGAGCCGAAGGCAGCGCTTAACCCACTGAGCCACCCAGGCGCCCCTGTCGGTTTGATTCTTGATGCTTGGTGTGAAATAAACCTTTGCTTGACCTTCGCTTTGTATCAGTCTCACTCCTTTGATTACGGTCCCATCAAATCTTTTCAGTAATGATACCATCTTTTTTTCCTTGTCCAGTTGTACTGACTAGAATTTTCTGAACAATGGTGAATAGTAAAAGTGACATAGAGATATATTGACATCATGTGGGCAAAATAGTATTGGTATATGCTTAGATATACTACATTAAAAAAACATATAACAGCTTCATTGAGATATAATTTAATAGCATAAAATTTGCCCTTTTAAAGTGTGTAAGTCAGTGTTTTTTAGTACAGTCAGAATGTGCAGCCATCGCCACTATCCAATTTTAGAACATTTTCATCACTCCAAATAGATACCCAGCACCCATTAGCAGTTGGTCCCCCTTGCCCTCTTCCCCCACCCTCTGATAAATACTGATCTACTTCCCGTCTCTATGGATTTGCCTACTGCAGACATTTCATATAAATGGAATCATTACAACATGTGGTCTTTTGTAACTGGCTTCTTTCACTATCATAATGTTTTCGGAGTTCATTCACACTGTAGCATGTATCAGCACTTCATCCCTTCCCATTGCCAAATAATTTTCCATTATTTGGGTATACCATATTTTGTTCATCCATTTATCTGCTGATGGGCATTTGGGTTGTTTTCACTTTTTTGGCTGTTATAAATCATGCTGCTATGAACATTCATATACAGAATTTTATGTGGACATATGTTTTCATTTTTCTTGAATATATACCACACAGTAGTAAAAATTTGCGGACATATGGTTACTATGCTAAACATTTCTAGACTTTTTTTTTTTTTACTTCTGTTGCTACTTTCCTCACTGTTTAGTTTCACCCTCTTTCACTGTGTCCATCTTTTCTTCTCTATCTCACAATGTGCACATGCCCTCAACTTTTGGGCTGTGACTCTTCCTTAGTCTTCGTTCTCTATATCAGCACTCTATAAGACTTCTTTTACCTGAGCTACCTATCTGTATCCTAATTTCAGGAATCTTTTGTCAGCCCGATCATTCTCAACCTACGGGTGTGCATTACTACTGTTAATCCCTTTCTTGTTTACCCTGCCAGCACCATCTTCTCTTGAAAGCCTGGACATACAGCTTTCCAATTTTCCTTTAAACCGTGTTTAGATTCCTCCTTCGTGAACAATGAACATCCTTCCGATGAACAATGTTCATTTTCCTCTTCTATCTCCCATCTCTTCTATGCTTGCTTGAGTTTTTATGCTCTGCAGAGTGAGTAGCATCTGAAAGCAAAATACCAGTTCTAGAAACATTAGGGTCTATGTAGAGGTTGTTTACTGGGGATGTTGTAACTCCAGAGGCTCTTAGGACTTCCTGGAGAATTAATGTGTCATCTAGAAACTGTCATTTAGCAAATCAGTATGAACAAAGGAGATGCTAGCAGTGAACCTATTAGGAGGAACCAGGTAGAAAATAGGTCAAAGTCCTTTTCTATACTTAAAAAAATTTTTTTAAAAGAGAAACCTATTCACACTTAACAAATTATGCAACTGCTCTAACCAGTTTTTAAGTTTAGATTTTCGTAATGTGGGTTTTCCTGGAGGGGTAGATTTGAGAGATTTATCTATTATTAATACCTGTTTTTTGAATTTTTGGTACCTGATGCTTGTGTCTTTCACTTGGTTTCCTGTTGTGGGTTGTTGTGTTTTGTTTGTTTTGTTTTGTTTTTAACCTGAAAGTATTTTGGCAATGTATGTATATGAAAATCAGTCTTATTGGATTATATTTTTGAAGATTAGAATAAAGAAATGATCTTTCCTTCCAGAGACTATCAGATGTTTCCCTGGTGGTATCTACTCTCACTGTGTAATTATACATGTGATTACTGGGGGAAGCAGTTCCCCTGTAACCTGCAGCACTTGCACTCATTAACCTGTTGTGAGGTTTGACAAGAAAATGTATGTGAAGGCCTTGAAGCCTGGAGTCTGCATCTTCTTCAGTGGGGAAATAGGCAGTTTGTATGACACCAGCTTATTGCTCTCTAAGCTGGCTTTGCAAGCTGCCATTGTCACTGTTTGTGAGAAGTAATAATAAAATACATGAAAAAGACTTGAATGTCCATGCAGTGAACTGAATGCTCAGAGTAGAGCTTATCTCTGATGAAGAGGTTGTACAAATCAGTATCCGATAGTCACTTGCAAGTGGTGGCTTCTGTTGCCAGACCTTGAACAGTTTAATAACACAAGAACAGGCATGGGATCTCCTTTGATGGCCTTAAAGTTTTCACTGAATGGGTTTATATTTCATCCAACTTTCTGTGTGAGAAGATGACACTGACTAGCTTTCCGGCATTTACAAAATGAAAGCTGTTGACCCAATGTAACTGTACCACTTGGGAAAAGAAAAAAAAAAAGAGCTACCCTTGGACGTATCCTTAATATTCATACCAAATTTCGGGCGCCTGGGTGGCTCAGTGGGTTAAGCTGCTGCCTTCGGCTCGGGTCGTGATCTCGGGGTCCTGGGATCGAGTCCCGCGTCGGGCTCTCTGCTCAGTGGGGAGCCTGCTTCTCTCTCTCTCTCTCTCTCTGTCTCTGCCTGCCTCTCCATCTACTTGTGATCTCTCTGTCAAATGAGTAAATAAAATCTTTAAAAAATATATATATATTCATACCAAATTTCTTTTCTCCAGCTAAATCTATCTTATAAGTTAAATTAGGTATGAAATTTTGTTACCATTTCGTAAGAAAAAGATGAGAAATGATGACCAAGTAAAAACATGACAACAGATAAAGGGATGTTGGAAGCTAACTCAGACCTCTTGACTGTGGATTGTTATGGTCAGGAAAGGGATGTGATTTAGAACTGTGAGTGAGTGTGTTCAGAGACAAGCAGCTGAGATTCAGATCACTTCACAGTTACTCTTGCAATGACATCTAAGGCAATACAAGTGTGTTCATGAGCCAACTGACTTGGTCTCCAGTTGCAGTAAGGTATGATTCCATCCATTACTCATTACTATCAGGACCTAGTCCTAATAACATATTTGATTTGCAAATATATGTCATAATAATGCAGGATTATTTAAAAGTGAAACAAATACCGACTTGTTCGTTAAAGTGTGAGGTGCGCTGATATGCTCTGGTTGAAGAATGAACAGGTGATTATTTAAGTATAGCAAGTAAGTGTTATATCTCTTTTTCTAGATGTATTAACCTTTCAGTCTATTTGTGCTCCGGAATGCCTACAGATTCTGGTAACAAAAGTAATCCTGAAATTTTGCATTCACTTCTTTTGTGTGAAAAAAGGAAACTGAAATTTAGTCAAATTGTTGGTTTCTTTGTGTGGGAGAAGAAGGAAGGAATTAAATACTTGAATTATGAAGGCCTAACTAAGTTATTATTTGGATACTGCTTTTCACATTAAGCCATACTTATTTTCTGTTTTTTCAGTTTCCATAGCAAGGCGTGTACAAGACCCATTAGCTGAGCTGGTGAAAATCGAGCCGAAGCACATTGGAGTTGGAATGTACCAGGTAAAGCAGTGTGGGTCATTTACTTTGTGAAACCTGTCAATAGTATGCAGACTTGGCATAGTAATTAAGTGTCGGTGGGAATACCTTCCCATTTTCAGAGGTTACACAGTTGATGGGAAGGTAGTTAGGAGTTATGTTACTAGAGAAGGGGGGAGTTTTTCTTTTTTTTCTTTTCCTCTTTTGGTGTTTATGGTTTGGATTAAGATTTAGAATGGACTGTAGTCATATTTAAAGACTATTAAAACATTAGATCAGACTAGTAACGTAATCCAGAGAGCCTCTCCCTTTACCATTATTGTAAAAAAAGAGAGTAAATGGAGCAAGGGGGTATGTTGGTTCTTTGTGTAAGCCAGTATGAAATATTGATCTTTATTGATCTTTCAGGAAAAAGCCTTTGGTACCTACTGTGCCTTATTTCTTTTTCTGGTTCCTATTTCTATTTGATTATTATAATGAGTTTTTGCTCATTATCCAGTATGATCTAGAGCCTTTCAGTTGTTACTGTGTAGCAGTAGTAGTAGTGGCGCTTATTACTATCACTGTATTTTCAGTTCTTGAGGTTGTGTGTGTGTTCATTGGGCAATGAGGACAACACTAAATCTTGGCAAAGTGAATCCATGATATCTTGTCTTCAGAAACCTCAAGTTGAATTATTTTTCTTTTCAATGAAAGTCTTTTTAGAATCTGAAATAAAATATTATCTTCTGTATAATTTTCATGGGACTTGAATGATAGGTTCTGTACTATTCTCTAAGAAATGTATTAGGTCATGGATCTGTGACCACAAGAAATAGAAGAGATCTTAGAAATCATATAACCCTACCCCTTCATTTGACAGAAAAGGAAGCTGTGTCCCAGAGTAGTTAGGATTTTTACCCAGATTCACACATTGACAAAGCCTAGACTAACTTGTCACATATTGAATTTAACTGGGAGTATTCCCATTTTATAGCAAATTAGACTAAGAGGCACCTAGACCTTTGACTTGACTCGTTCATTTGGGAAGGATAGTTGCTGAAGGGGAGATCTAGCTATATAGCTAGGTAGGAATGCCTAGTATCTAAAGAGTATAACTTTAACAGTTTTATTACATAGGTATTTTAGTTAAGAGGAATTATAACTATTAATTCAAGACGAAGTTATGGAATACCTCAGCAAGGTAGTAGAACAAAGAAAAGAAAAGGAGAAGTCAAACTCATAGAACCAAGGCAGGCTAATAAGCTATTGACATCAAAGAAGTCTTTAGTAAATAGCAGAGACTTAGACTCCAGATTCTTCGGAGATATAGCATTTAACATGAAAGAGTTCATCGTTCCAACAGCAGTAAGAAGAAATGGAAGAGCTTTAAGCAAGGGAATGTTATGATCTGATTTTTATTTTTAAACATTGGCTCTGGCTAATCTGGGGAGAATGACGTAGAAAGGAAGAAGAGAAGCAGTAAGACCAATTCAGAGGCTGTTATACTAGTTCAGGTGAGAGATGGTGGTGGCTCGGACAAAGTTAATAGCGGTAGAAATGGAAAGCAGTTAAATCTGTTTTGTAAGGCCTACTTGGTAATAAGTGGAGGAAAGGGAGTTTGCTCCAGGAGTCCTAGTATGTGGATGATGCCTGACAGAACAGATTTGGTGGGGATAAGATCAGTAATTCAGTTTTGGACATGTTAAGTTGAGATGCCTGTAAGAAATCCAAAAGATGTCAAGTAGAAGTTGGATATGCAAGTCTGAGATATAAAGGAATAGCCATATTAACATTAGAGTACAGACTTTTCTGCAAATAATGACACTGAGAAAGTGATCAAGATGGTAAGCTGAGCTTATGATATCCTTTAGTTCTGCCACCACTATTACTGGCATATCCATGATTCCACCTTCTTTAAGATGACAGAGAAGGTGCACATGTATATTTGTATCCATATAATAAACACATATGAATAAGTTGATAACCTGGGAATAAAAGGGTTGGTGGATGGAAATTTCAGGAATTCCTGAGAGATAGTAAAAATAAAGAATCACATTCATGGAAAAATAAAACCTGATGGAGCTGCAGCTTAAAATGCACAGATCAGGGGCACCTGGGTGGCTCAGTGGTTTAAAGCCTCTGCCTTTGGCTCAGGTCATGATCCCAGGGTCCTAGGATCGAGCCCTGCATCGGGCTCTCTGCTTAGCAGGGAGCCTGCTTCCTCTTCTCTCTCTCTCTGCCTACTTGTGATCTCTGTCAAATAAATAAATAAAATCTTTTTTAAAAACGGTACAGATCAATAGTGTTCTCAAACGAGAATCACGTTCAAGTAGTGGGGAGGGGACCTGTAGTGTTAGAGAAGGAGGTGCATGTGGAACAACTAGGCCCATCATGACCCCTTCCCTCCACATCCTGTGAATCCAAGCTCAAGCACTAGGTATAACCCAGAGACCAGAGGGAGGCTGAGAGATCCCTCAAGTAGCCTTTGGTTGTGAGGAAGTTCAAGGAGTCTCGTGCCAGGAAGACAAACTTTTGGCACATCCCTGACCCCTGGCATCATATCCCACATCAATGGATTCCAATGCTGGTAAACAAAAACAGCATACACAGACAGTTGGGGACTCTGAAATGATCTTCTGCTAAGAATCACAGAACATTTGAGGAAAACTTGTCTTAGCAAAATGAGGCACCAAATATAATGAGCAAAAAATAACAATGAATAGGCAGCAGGCTTTGAAATAAGTAAAATTAATATTCACAGAGAGAAAAGAGAAGTTATTGCATATGTAAAACAAATCTAGGATAAAATGAATTAAGTCTGTCTTAGAATTAAAAAATCTGCTTGTCAAGATGGAAAAAACCAAATGGTCTAAATAGAGTGGACACAGCTTAAAAACAAATTAATGAATTGAATGATTGAGCTAGGAGATTCTTTAGAATACAGTCTTAAATTGAGAAAGTTGGACAGTATGAATAAAATGTTGTATGATACAGAGGCCATTTTAAAGCTTCAACATTCAACTCATAGCAAATTCAAATAAAGAGACTGGAGGAGGGTTACAATCACAGAAATAATAGGAAGAAATTTCTTCATGCTGAAGACAGACAAGTTTTGAAAAGGCCCAGTAGTATTGAATAAAAGGATAACTAAAGATCTACACTCAGACATCTTCATATGAAATTTCAGAATGCTAGTGATAAAAAAAGAACTGACTAAAAGCTTCTAGAGAGCAAACAGTTCACCTACAAAGGAAAGAAGCAGTCCTGTTATTGGTAAAAACAAGTAATAGAAGATAGAAGCAGTAGTTTTGAAGTGTGAGAAAGATGTTATTTGAACCCATAATTCTATATTTGGACAACTCAGCAATTTGATGTGAGAAGAAAATAAAAACATTTTTGGACCTGCAGTGATCTACCTTTTTGGAATGTTACAAATCTTCTTTGAAAGAATTATTTATGAAAATACTCCTGACCCCAAAAAAGCGGGAGTGGGGATGAAAAAAGGGAAAGGAGTGTCGTGAAGGCACAGTATTGAGGTGAAGAAACAGTGGAGAGCTTTTTATAGTACACACATGTGCAGTAAAATGTTAGTTGAGCCTCAGAGTGTTTTATCTATGATGTTAATCTTTAAATATATCAATCTGGGCCAGATCAGTTTAACATGGGAGAATAGAAGAAAACGAAGTTTTACAAGATTCTTTTTCAGGAAAATAATTAAGATGTAGATTAACTTTATATTTCATTAGAAAAACATAATCTGAAATATATGAAGAATAATCACAAATAGGATATTTAATGCACATCATGAGAATAAAAAATTAAAAGCTCATCATCCCAGCCAAAGGCACAGAAAACAAGGAAGTATAGTAAATAAATAAAATACATGATGACAGGAATAAGTATAGGTGATAGATATATGATGAATGGGTTAAATTCCCCAGTTAGTAGAATCTCATACTTTTAAAAATAAAATACAGCTCTAAGTTGTATATGTATGCAAGATGTTTCTAAAGAATAAAAGCAACCTTGTAATTAGAAATTTGGAGAAAAATATTCCACACAAATGAAAAAGAAAGTCCTAGTACTGCTAATATCAGACGAAACAGAATTTAAGGCAAAATGCATTGAACAGGTCAAGGGGGGCTATTTTATATTAATAACAGTTTCCCAAGAAGATATAATTGTCCTGAACATTCTGTGTTACCTAACAACATAGCTTCAAAAATTATGCTGTTTAAAAAATTCTAAAATTAGAGCAAGAGACATGGGCACCTGGGTGGCTCAGTGGGCTAAGCTGCTGCCTTCGGCTTGGGTCATGATCTCAGGGTCCTGGGATTGAGCCCTACATCAGGCTCTTTGCTCAGCGGGGAGCCTGCTTTTCTCTCTCTCTCTCTCTCTCTCTTTCTCTCTGCCTGCCTCTCTGCCTACTTAGGATCTTTCTCTGTCAAATAAATAAATAAAATCTTTTAAAAAAATCAGAGCAAGAGATTTTTGTACATCTTAATAGACTATAGTATATTGACGTTTCGAATATTTGAACATTTTCATCACGCCAAAATGAAACCCGGAATCCATTAGCAGTCACTGTCTACCACCCCCTCCTTCCCAGTCCTAGGCAATTACTCATCTACTTTGTTTCTATAGATATGTCTGTTCTGGGTATTTCATATAAATAGAATCACAATATTTGGTCTTTTGTAACTGGTTTCTTTCGTTAGCATAATATTTTCAAGGTTCATCCATTACAAGTCATTACTTCATTCTTTTTTATGGGCAAATTGTATTTCATTGTATGTATATAATACAACATTTTGTCTATCCATTCATCAGTTTGGGTTATTTCCACTTTGGGGCTATTATGAATAATGCTATTATGAACATTCTATACAAATTTTTATGATGCATGTTTTCATTTCTCTTGGCTATATACCTGGGAGTATGTTTGCTAGGTCATTTAACATATAAATTTAAAGCCAGATGATGAACTAGAGAAATTATTTGCCACAAATCTGTATGTATGCAACTATCTATTTTATTATTAAGGTTTTGGTGTTTTCTTATTGATTTGTATACAATTATATGTTGGTTTAAATAA